TTTTAGAAAGCACTGTATTAAGCTATAAAGTTTTTTTTTTTTGTACTAATGCACATTTAAAATAATGCATTGTTTATTCATTTGCTTGTAATTTGTTAATTTATTTTAATAGAATTGATTTTGGAAAATTACTTTTTTACAGTTGCAGTTAAAATAATGCATGAGTGAATGCATAGCTGAATTCAATGCTAGCTGTTTTGACTTTATTTTGATTTAATGTGGCTTAATGTTTATTATGTATGTGCACAATAAAAAGGATTGGGATATGTTTGTACACAATACAAATCTTTTTTAGGGTTTCTCAAGAACAACAGAACAAGTGAAGTACTTTACATAATCAACATGTAAAATCTCCTTCTTCCTCATTTCTTACAATCAAACTTCTGAATGTGATTCTTTCTTTTAGAGGAAACTGCTTTCAAAATATTTTTATATTTACCATGTTTATCTTAGTTTTGCGAACCATCAAAAACCAGCAAGATAATCCGGCTTATCTAGATCTAAACAATGTGGTTTGGCCAGATTCTGATATGGTTTGATTTCTTGCCAAGATGACTAAACACAGTAACCGGAACTTTTAAAACTTTTTTTTATTTTGTAATTGTGTAGTAGATGTTTAATGAATGCTATGTAGTCTGTCCTGAGGAGCATCCTTCAGATTCAGTGTTAGAAGTCTGAAATTACAGCACTCAATAATTAATAATACTTTGCACTATGGCTTTAGTTAATGAAAAGTGAAAAATGAAAGACTTATGGAATATCAGTCTTTGTCATTTCCTAATAGAACAAGTCAAATATTCCAAATGATGGTTTTGTGTAAAGGTTATATACAAGTACAAAAACACATGCAGGAAGTTTGTTTGGCTGCTGGTGAGTTCAGTGGTGGAAAGTAACGGAGTAGTTTTACTTCGTTACTGTACTTAAGTAAATTTTTCAAGTATCTGTACTTTACTGGATTAGTTTTATTTTGAGTAACATTTACTTTTACTTCACTACATTCCAAAGCATAAGATCGTACTTTTTACTTCACTACATTTCATAAAATATATCGTTACTCCTTATAATATATCACGTGCTCTGACATGCAGAAGCGGTGTCTGATTCAAGAACAAACTGATTCTTTTTGCAATCTGTGAATATTTCCTATAGCATCTGGACCAATCAAAAACACAATTTTTCATTTGATTTAACAAATCAGTTATTCATTAGATTAACAAATCGTCACAGTCCCCTCACCCAATAAACTGGGTGCCAGGATGTCTGCAACGACACCAGGCCCCCCTGGTCCCCATGGCAACTAATGCTGATTTCACTGGTTTTATGACCCACAGGAATGTAAGTAGGGAAAATCACTGCATGTTCCAGAGCAAGAGGCACAATACACAGTAGAAATTGACTTTTCTACTAATTAATTCATAGGAAAACCTTTCTTTGAATGAACACACATATCCTTCAGCTCATGGTGTATGTTGTCTTTGATATTTTTAGACTATTCTATGCATGCTTATGATGGAACCCATTCCTGTCATCTTGCCAAAGAGTCGGTGGTTCTGTTAGGTTTTGAGAAGATGTGAGCTACAACGCACCAGGACATCCTAAGTACGTGCCAGGCTTCGGCCTTTACTTTTCCATTTACCAAGATTCTCTGACTCAAAACTGGTTCTTTTTCATCAACCAACTTCAGCAAAGATCAACTTGAACCTTTGGACTGCATCAAGCCTTTCTTTCAGACAGACGAGACATGCGGCAGATCTGCTGAATATGCAAATGGTTCCATACCTTCATATTCTTATTTTCTCTCCTCTTTACTGAGTTAAGCTTTAACCCTTTCCTATACCAACTGTATGCGTGTGTGTGTGTATGTGTATGTTAGACCAGTTTAAGTGTTTATGTAGTATGTTAGACTAGTTTAAGTGTTTATGTAGTTAATAAAGTCTTACTTGTATCACACTTGACGTTGTTCATTGTTTGCTCATAACTGGAGTCACTTAATCATGCAGATTTATGCTACAAGCTCTTTGTAGAATTGTACAGTAAGAAAGTTATTTCCCTTAACCAGGAAATTAACGTTCTTAGAATTGACAGCCAGTTGACCCTGAGAGGTCAGCTAAATATCTACAGCGGATCTAAATATTTATAATTAATTATAACTAGTTATGATTAATTATTCATATTTCCCTTATGAGCTGATTCGCTACTACATTTCATAAAACATATCGTTACTCCTTATAATATATCACGTGCTCCGACACGCAGAAGCGGTGTGTCTGATTCAAGAACGAACTGATTCTTTTTGCAATCTGTGAATATTTCCTAAGGAAAAAGGAAGAAAATTTGAGCTATTGTTTAGTTGTTTATATGTTTTTTTTTATTATTTTGTGTTTTATTTTGTTTTTACGATGTGGTTATTTGTTTATTTTATTTTATTTATTTTTCTTCTCTTAAACACTGTTCTACAGTTTAAGATTGCTCTTATATTTTGTGAATATGGATTTACTTGTTAATATTTTTGTTTGTTCAATCATTCTTCTTTAATAATAATATATATATATATTTTTTTAATTATTCTTTTCAATGAACCTTATAAATCGGTTCACAAATCACACCAAACGATTCATTCACGAATTAGAATGAACCGATTGCAGCTGTTCTCGAGTCGACAACTCACTGATTCAAATGAACCATTTAGTTTGAGTCTCCAGTGAACTGAATTCACAAGTAAGAACTGGGAGATCTTGTGAGCGCGTGCGTGCGCGACTGATGCTGCTAAAAGTAAGTTACTAATCTCGAATTTTAGGATTAATTATTGTAATTGAAAATCATATTTAGGTCAAAACTGTAAGTTGTTCCCCAGATTTGGCTATGACAAGGCTTGCAAACACTGGTATTCCACCCCCTATACACCTTGAGAACAGAATTGAAGCATTAATGAACACGGGTGAGGAATCCCCAAATGTGATTAAACATGGATCGGATCAGCCAGCAGCTAACATCGCTACTAACAGGCGCTCAAGGTCGAGCAGACAGCGACATTCAGCTCAGAGCGCAGCCGAGCCCAGGACTCTGATAGTGGGCGACTCCACTATCAGAAACATCAGTAGCAGGACTACAACTACATGCTGCTTTCATCAAGCAACCATCTCTGATGTGAACAGGGAAATCCAAAACATTCTGATGAAGCACAAGACTGCAAATCAAATCATCATCCATGTGGGGAAGAATGATATTCGGAAAGAGCAGTCAGAACTCCTTAGGAATGACTTCAGTGATCTCTTTGAAACACTTCAAAGACTTGAAGTTCAGTAGTTCATCAGTGGACCACTCCCACCAAGGGGAACTAATATGTTTTCACAGTTGCTTGGGCTAAACACATGGCTACAAAAATCCTGCAATATAAAAGGTGTGAACGTATTCGACAACTTCAATCTTTTCTGGGGCCACAGACAACTGTTTAAACCGGATGGCCTCCACCCAAACAAACTTGGTGCAAGAGTACTTAAGGGCAATATCTACTTCTCCCTCCGTCATCCTTCAGCAGAGTGTGTCAATCCACTCAGCCTGAATAGCACACACACACACCTGGTCAGAATCGTCATGTGGTTGACACATCCCACAAGGACACTGATAACACACCGCAGCCACAACAAGCACTGCTTATGGACAACATCCCGGTTGAGCCCTGCCCACCGAGCTCATCACAGACAGACTGTGACATATCAGAACAGCTCCAAGACTCAGCACCCAAGGACAACTTTCTGGAAAACAGCCGGGGAATCCAGGACAACATATCACAACCACCTGAAACACCAGAGACACAGCCCCGCTCACCAGACACACTATCCCTCTCTCCAGCATCTCCACTTCTAAACTTCTCACAGAAAATGGAGGAACTGGTGTATGCTGGGACCAAACTCTCCCACTCATTCGCTGCAACACCCCAGATATCAACTAAAAAACGGCGGGCCACCCAACCTCCAAAGCCTGTGGGCCCAGCTCATCATCCTCCTCCTGTGAGAGCTCTCCGGCCGCTGCCACAACGCCACGGCCCAAACCCTCCATCTGCTGTTGGTGAACCAAAAACAACTGATAGCAGCTCTCCGTGATATGTGTCGGATCCCCGCTATGATAGCAGCAACATTCACAATTGTTTACAGAACAACCGGGAACCCAGTGTGCCTGTGGTTTTCTCTATTTCTGGTTTATCACGTGATAGAAAGTCTAAGGCCTTCTCAAGCTGTACAATTTACTCATCTAATCTGCGGCCTACTATGCATCAAACTAAGATTGCTGTAAAGACACAAAGCAACGCCATCAAGTTAGCTTTTTTAAACATTTGCTAACTAAAAAATAAATCATTTCTAATCAATGACTTAATAACCACAAACAACCTGGATCGTCTCGGGTTACGACTGTAACCCTTGTTCCCTGAGAAAGGGAACGAGACACGTA